AAAAAAAAAAGAATCAGATTCAAGAACAGAGAAACAAACAGGATATTAGACCTCAAACGTGCTGTAGCTTTTCCCTTTACAGATAAAGAACTGGTGCCCCCAGGGGTAAATTCTCATTCCCTGAAGGCACCAGAACAAGAACTCTGGTCACCTGATTCTTACTTCAAAGTAAATGTGAATTTTCAAGCAAGAGGAAGTGTATTGAGACCTTACTGGTTGTGAGGAAGAAACCCCCGCACGCAATCTTGAGTGACAGGGCTTATTCACAAAGCTCAGCAGGGCCCAGAGGCTTTGCCGTCATGCCCAGCAGTCCAGTTGACTCTGCTCTCTTGTGCGTTTCTCCTCCCATCTGTAGGCGGTGAGACTCTGACTGGGTCAGTGACTTGGTTACCAACCACTGAAGAGCATTCCTGCTGGGAAGCCTTTGGCACAGGCATTAAAATTGGGTCCTATTAGTTTTAGCCAAAGTGAGGCAGTTGTTTTGGGTCAATACACGGACTTTGTAAACTATAGGAGGCTTATGCAGGAAGCACTTTCTAAAGCTTCTATGGAAGCAAAGCAGACCTTCAGGTAGGTACAGGCCCTTTGAACTTCCTGGACCTGATCAGCACGGGGAGTAAAAGACGTTTGTGTCTATAAATGTGGGATGGGGCAGATGAACTAAATCACAGCCCAGCTCCCATAGAGTTAGTTTGCAAGTGGAAAGAGGGGTAAGTGCTCTGCCCTTAAGAAGCTACCCTCAAATACTGTTGTGGGGCTTTTGGGCAATCAGTTAACACCGTCACCCTCAGTTTGCTTCTCTTCGGGTAAAGATGGTCATCCTTGCCTTGCCCAGTAGTTGTGCATACCAGTGATCCTGTATGCTAAATGACCGTCACTATGTGGGGGCTGCAGGCGAGGTAACTGTTAGGACTATTACTCCTACAATACTATAACTACTATACTTCTATAATTATTTTTATTACTGCTAGTACCTAAAACTACTTTTACTACTATTATTACATGCCAGTATTTGTAATTGAACAGTCTTCTCTGCTTAGACAACAGGAGGGAGGGCTCTACGATTGATTCTCAAGATGCTGTAGAAATTTTTATTCACTGTGCAATGGTTCAGATCATGGTCTTTGTGGCATTAAGACTACTTACTTCCTGGCTGTGAGATCTTAGACAAGTTATTTAACCTTGTCGGCCTCAATTATCTCATCTGTAAAATGGGGATCATAATACCTCCTATCACAAAGAGCTCCTGTGAGGATTAAATGAGATAATCTAAGCATTGCTTAGAACAATACCCAACATACAGCAAACACCTAATACATGTTCTCTATTAAGCTAGGAATGTATTAATATGTATTGGATCCTCACAACTACCCAGTGAGATAAGAGGCATCATCATCTTTATTTCATGGATATTGAAATTGAGGCTTATGATTTACCATGTTAGTGAGTGGTGATGGGGAGAGGTGGCTTTCTCTTCCTTCTTTCCTTTCCTCCCTTCCTTCAACATATATTTATTTATTGGACTGGATTGGAGAACAAGAATTCCTGCCTAGTTGATTGGGATTTAGGACATCTGATCCCTTTTTCATTTTCTTCCACAGCCCCGCCTCCATACTTGTGCCAGAGCACTTAACAAGAAAGCGCTCACTCGCATAGCTTGCTCCCATTGAAATAAAATCATACTATCCTTTTGTCTTTTGCTGCTAGCCTCTACTATCAGCTGTCATGGACAAAGTCCCAAGTGTTTTATTTGAATCTTCAGACTTGAGAAATCAATAGGGTCAATGAAATAAGAGCCAGTGTTTACATAAGTGTTTATTGGACTTTTCTTTATCGTCTTCAGGTCTTGTGGAAATCTGCCTGATGCACCCCCTCGATGTGGTGAAAACCAGGTAAGGTTCTGCATGAACAAGTTTTATTGACTTTGGCTGATATCCAAATTAAGATCTGACAGAACACTAAATGCTAGAACTTGTCCTAGGCCGGTAGCTTCTCCCAATAATGGCATTTATATTTACTTCTTAAAGAAAATACTGTTTGACAGATAAAATGTGAACAGTGAAAAGCATTTCTGGATAGAGGTCACCTGAAGGTACATAATATTTTACTGCCTTCACATGACAACCATAAGGTATGATTTGTGGCTAAACTGGTAAGCGAGATAAATTTATCAAAATGATGTAAAAACTACACATCATCCAGTGAATTGTGACAGCAGACTTGCATTTGGCATTGCATATAACAGATTGCTGTTTAAGAGTCAGCATTTTGGTGTGAGACTCCAAAATTTCAAGTAAACTTCTTAAATGGTGCTTAAAGAATTTTTTCCTACAACTGTTTTGCCAATGCAAAATGCCCTGTTTCCAGGAAAATGCATTTGCTCTTAAAGGGAGATACAAACTGGGGCAATGTATTAAATCTATTTACCAAGAGAAAAAAAAAATCTTGTGGGATTTAATATGATCTGGAGCTTTTTAAAAAGTTAAACCTGTGACTGAATTACTGAACTCTCCATTTTTTTCAAATTAGAAGCTCTTAGAGTGTAGTGAAAGTTTCCACATATTTGTGTTGTGTAAAACCTGAGAACACGATACCTAGGCTGGAGCTTAATACCAAACAGTGCCCTGTAACGAGGGTGGCCGAACAAACCCTTACTGCCACGATTAGGATATACTTGGTGAGCCAGGCTGGTCTTGGGTGGATATGTTCCTTAATTTACCTAAAGAGGCTGCAGAATCTGAGGCTGGTTGCTGAAAGCAAGGGAAGGTGACCGTGATATGCAAATAGTATTACATTTCTAATAGACGTAGAGAAAATGAGAATTTGGCCTCTGTCTTAGCTCAGGCTGCTCTAACAAAATACCGTAGACTGGGTGGCTTATGAAACAGACATTTATTTCTCACGGCTCTGGAGGCTGGGAAGTCCAAGATCAAGGTACCAGTCCGGTTCTTGGTAAGGGCCCTCTTCCTGACTTGTTGACAGTCACCTTCTTGCCATATCCTCACATGACAGAGAGAGGAAGCTCTGATGTCTCTTCCTTTTCTTATAAGGGCACTAATTCTATCAAGGGGGCTCCACCCTCATGACTTCGTCTAAACCTAATTATCTCCCAAAGTCCCCACTTCCAAATACTATCACATTGGAGGTTAGGGCTTCAATATATGAATTTGGGGGGACACAAACATTCAGTCCATAACAGCCTCAAGTCACTGAACTCAAACAGAGAAAGAAGAAAACCACAAATTATGTTCAAATGTAAGATGTGTCCACTCCCTGGACCATCTTTTTACAGGGTTCGGAAACAGAAAGCAAAACTCACTGACATTTCCATCTTAGACTCCGTTAACCTTCTTTGAAAAGCCAGACTATGTTGCCAGTCTCACTTAGGAATAAATTATCTTTTTCACTTAAGGATAATTTCCTAAATTAGTGAAGTGTTCAAATGAGCGTCGAGGAGAAATAAGAATGATTTAAACAAGACATGATATTGAAATTATGGTTACTTATTCATTCACTCCATCCTTCATTCATCCATTTAGCAAACGTGTATTGAGTCCCTAGTGTGTGTAGGTTCCAAGCTAGCTCTGCCCTCAAAAGCTCACAATCTGATAAGTTAATAGAAATCTCATCACAATGAATTTCAAAAACTATATCATTTCCTGGTACTGGACTTAAATAGAATATTTCCTGAAATGGATGTGCTAAGTAACTGGGGCTTTATACCTTCTTTGTTATATAGATATTTTCATGAAAATGGCATTCACTGATTGGAATTAGTCACGTGCCCTTGCCTGACTTCAAGCGGGAGGGAAAATACAATCCTTCCAGGTGCCCTGAAGGAGAAGGGAACTGGATACTGGATGGTATTTGACCTGCATAAAAATAAAAAGTATATTGAATAAAGACCCAGAATCGTAGAGCAAACTGAAATCCCAAAACATGTGCCACTGACTTTGTGACAGGAGAATATGCAAGATTGGTACCATTTATCACTGGGTGCTAACACACGGGTGATAGAGGGTGGACGGGACAGAACAAACTCTATCGTACAGGAGATGACTACATTTCTAAGTAAGATCAACTGTAAGAGATAATAATGAAACCATGTAGCATTAGTGATTTTAGCAGGTTGCTTTCCTTAAGGACATCCAAGGGCACCGGGTTCTAAGTCGTTGCAGGCTTTGTCAAAATGGGGCATGTGTTACAGCAGGCCAAACCGCACTTGCTTCACAGTGTTTTGTTTTTTGTTTTTTGTGAGGAGGACTAGCCCTGAGCTAACATCTGATGCCAATCCTCCCCTTTTTTCTTGAGGAAGATTGGCCCTGAGCTAACATCCATGGCCATCTTCCTCTACTTTATATGGGATGCCGCCACAGCATGGCTTAATGAGTGGTGCGTAGGTGCATGCCCGGGGTCTGAACCTGCGAACCCCCGGCCCCCAAAGCGGAGCGCGCGCACTTAACCGCTTGCGCCACCGGGCCTGCCCCATCTTCGCGGCGTTTTTGTGGGCTGTTTTTGGCTCTCCTTGGATATTATTACTTGAAGGGTGGTACACTGAATTAATCTGAGTATGGAAATGGTTCATTTTCCACAATATCTCATGTGCTAAAGTATGGCAAAATAAATGTGTTTATTTCTTGAGGTCTAGTCTTTTCTTTTTTCGTTCTATTTGTGCGTAATACTTTTCTTTGTTGAATAAAAGATAACAGATTTTAAAAATGTATTTCCAAATTCTTCCTTCACAGGGATTTTTTTGTTATTTTTGTCTCTCTGTAAGTGATCGATTCTGTTATCCCAGGCTGGAGGGACATAGGGAGATGGTGGTGTTACCAGGGCCCAGGGGTGGACGCTGGAACCATAGTAGATCTATCTAGTGGTAGCTGGAGTCCCAGAAGAGCCCCAGCCACTGCCAGATGTGCTGCCTGAGGTGGACAGGTAGGGGAGAAATCCTCTGGTTTCTCCCTTCTCCCCACTCTTCAGTCTCCCTCCAGTGCTCCTGTTTGCTGAACCCACGGAAGCCTGGGAAGCCCAACCTTGCAGAGGGCAGTCCCTCTGCGTAACAGAGCAGAGCAGAACAAGGGAAGAGCGAGAAATGGGTGTGAAGACAAACAGAACCAGGACTGACACACTGCCATTTTAGTGGGGTTTGGAGAATGAACTGACATAAGCACGCATTTTCTTTTTTTTCATTAAGATATATTTGACATACAACATTTTATTAGTTTCAGGTGTACAACATAATGATTTGATATTTGTATATATTGCAAAATGATCACCACAATAAGTCTAGTTAACATCCATCACTACACATAGTTACAATTTTTTTCTTGTCATGAGAACTTTTTAAAAAAATTTTTAAATTATTGAGGTCATAATGGTTTATAACATTGCGAAATTTCAGGTGTACGTTATTATTTATCAGTATTCTGTATAGACTGCATCATGCTTACCACCAATAGTCTAATTTTTATCCATCACCATATATATGTGCCCCTTTACCCCATTCACTCACCCCCCTTCCCTTCTGGTAACCACTAATCTGTTCTCTTTGTCCACGTGTTTATCTTCTTGTGGTGACAACTTTTAAGATCTACTGTCTTAGCATCTTTCAACTGTACAATACAGTGTTATTAACTGTAGTCACCATGCAGTGCATTACATTCCCAGGACTTATTTATTTTATAACTGGAATTTTGTGCTTTTTGACCCCCTTCACCCATTTTGCCCACCCTCCAGCCCCAGGCTCTGGCAATCACCAGTCTGTTCTCTGTATCTATGAGTTAGGTTGTTTTTGTTGTTGTTGTTGAATTTTGTTTTTTTTAGATTCCACATATAAGTGAGATCACGTGGTATTTGTCTCTCTTTGACTTGTTGCAGTTAGCATAATGCCCTCAAGGTCCATCCATGTTGTCGCAAATGGCAAGATTTCCTTCTTTCTTATGGCTGAATAATATTCCATTGTATACATATATACCACATTTTGTTTATCCATTTATCCATCAATGGACATTTAGGTTGCAAGCATACATTTTCAATTCAGCATGTTTAACAGGAACTCACTTTGCTTTTTAAAAGATGATTAGAAGTTATAATAGATAAATCTTTTATGGAGAATTTATAGGCACTGTCACACTTGGCTTTATATAGGAAATAGCTTATTCTGCTCCATGTAAGTGTAGCTCCAGGGATAGACCTAATGTAAGCATAAGCTAGGCACCTGACAACTGCCTTGTTCTAAGTGTCCCCACCTGATCTTAGCAGAGGAGATTTGGCTAGGATGCTGTACACATTGCAGTTAGGTAGAATCAAGGTCTCCTTTGAGATTCTCCCTAGAGACATGCGTATACAGTGTTTTATAGTTCAGTTTATATACAAAGAACTTTGTGTACAATTGTGGGTGGACCCTCTGGTTAAGAACCCCTAGCTACAAATAACAAAAGACCCTATTCACTTCTATAACTAGGAAGACCAAAGGTAGTTTCTGGCTTTGTATTCCCCAGGGATTCAAATAAAATAATCAGTAATATCTCCTATCTCTCTCATATTGTCTTTCATTCTCTCATATTCTCTCTCTGTCTCTCACTCTCTTTCTTTCTCTCTCTTCTTCCCTTCCTCTTCCCCTTCAGCTTTTTTTTTTTTTTCTTCATATATGGGCTTCATTTTAGGGTGGCTTCTCTCACTTGGCACCAGATGGCCACTGCAGCTTCAAGCTTACATGGTCCTTAGTGTTTGTACTCTCTCCGAGACAGGATAACCTGGTAGTTAAGAACTCTGGCTCTAGAGTTAGGCTGCTTGGGTTCAAATCCTGCTTTTCTAATTATTATCTGTATAACCTCAGGTAAGTTACTTAACTTCCCTGTGCCTCAGTTTCTTCATCTTTAAATGGGAACAA